GAAACTTTATGGTGCTTTATAATGTTTTTGTGCCTTTCGTGTGGCTTATCAATAACACAGAATAGTATACGCACAATATCGGATTTGGATCGGTCTCGTCTGACCAATACCCGATCCAGCAGAAAATGGCAGTATCGAAGCTGATACCGATACCGAGTATCGGATTGGTGCATCCCTGATAATAATAATCTTCTTGATATCATCAAAGACATCAGCCATTGGCGATATCTCTGACTATCGTTGATACACGATACTATTGTCTATCGGTACAACCCTAGTGCTGACAGGTAATACTATGGAACACTGTTGTATTAAAACAGCATTGCTAGTGTCAGCAGAGTGTGAGAATGGCTAGTACATATGGTCAGGAACAGCTGGCTGCTCTCAGCCCCAAGCAACTCTCTGATGCTTGCTGGAAATCTCTGTCACCTACCAGATTTAAAGATCGGCAGAACAGCATTTCAGCTGTGAACTGAACGCAGACACTAAAAATACTCGGTGCTGTGGGAGAAAAACAGCTGAAAGAGGGGACCCTATGGGTTTAATAATAGTACAATGGAAATATACTGGAAATGTAATAGTACAATGTTTATATAAGTAAAATGTGTATAAACCAAACCGAATAGCACATCTGAAGCAGAACTTCATATTTCAGTTAGAAATAAACAGCATGAAAGTCTATTTAAGAAAGCATAATATTGTTACAAAATGATTAATTAAAACTGGATGCCACTACAATATGCCAATTCCAAAAAATACAACATTCACCATTATACAAGAGTTAGTTCTGGTCATCACACTTGACTGGTTAGGGTTAGACTATGGGATGTCTGACTGCTTGTATTATGCTGTTTGTCTGTATTCACGAAATTTCAGATCAAAGTACGTGAGCGGTACAAAGTGGAAGCAAAGTGACTATATTTGACAATATTTGTTAGTGAAGAAGAAATACACAAACGAATTGTCTTTTTGTTCCAAATGGAAGATATTTGATATTAATTACTTGTCTATTCCAGTTAGGGATGTAATGGTATGAAAATTTCTTATCACGATTATAGTGACCAAAATTATCACGGTTATCCGTATTATCACGGTATTGTTAAAATGTGCTGGAGATGTTAAAAAAGTACAGACACATAAATCACTTCACCAAGTTTTAGATTTAAAAATCAACAAACAACAAATAAAATGACTTTCTGTTTGCATAATCACTAAAACAATAACATTACTGTGACGAGTGGGGGCGGGGCCGAGAGCCGTGGGAACGGAGCGAGGCCGGTGGAGTGATTGCTAATGAGGGACACCTGCACCCACTCACCGGTCTCGAGTCTCACGGAGGAGCTCCGGAAGGATAAAGGAGGAGTGACTACAGTGTTGGACGAGAGAGGACCAGGGCGCTTATGGAAAAGCTGAATTAGAGCTGTTTCCCGTAACCTCAGTGGACAAAGCAGTATTGCGATTAAGAACACTTCCTTTAGGTATTACATGGAGCGAAGATGAAAACAAAATACCATCGAATCGTTTCTGAAGACAGTCAGAACCTTCAGAGGTACATTCATATAAATAATTCATTCATATATTAATTTGTATAATTCCCTTACCACTCTGTTAAAACCTCCCAGCTTTTCCGCCCTGTTTTCACTCAAAACGAAACTACTCTGCTGCTGTGCGCACGTGAGACTGTTACTT